AAGCTGCTGAGTGTCAATTTTGTGGACCGCGACACGTACCTGCAGTTCACCGACCTGCAGGACTGGCCCCGGGCCAACATCACCCTGCAGGTGAGGGCTGGGGGGGGGCATAGGGGCATTGGAGGGGTGGCATTGGGGGTGCTGCCCCAGGGATGTGGGCTCTCACCTCTCTCCCTGCCAGGTCTCAACGGCTGAAGGCAATGGCATCCTGCTGTACAACGGCGACAGCGACCACATGGCAGTGGAGCTGTACCAGGGTCACGTCAGGGTCAGCTATGACCCCGGCACCCACCCCAGCTCGGCCATCTACAGGTACCTGCCACCGCTTTCCTGCTCACTGGGGACCACCACCCCCATTGCACGGGCTTGGGGGGGGTCCCCGGTGACCCAGTCCTCTCTGCCAGTGCCGAGACCATCAATGACGGGCAGTTCCACACCGTGGAGCTGGTGACCTTCGATCAGATGGTGAACCTCTCCATCGATGGTGGCAGTCCCATGACCATGGACAACTCGGGCAAGCATTACACGCTGAACAGCGAGGCCCCCCTCTACGTGGGAGGTAGGACAGGGGCTGGGGGGACGGTGGGGGGCAGCCAGGCATGCTGACAACCCTGTTCTCCCCAGGGATGCCCGTGGACGTCAATTCGGCTGCCTTCCGCCTCTGGCAGCCAACGGCACCCGCTCCCCCGGGTCCACCCGCAACCTCTACATCAACAACGAGCTGCAGGACTTCACCAAGACGCGGATGACGCCGGGGGTGGTGCCGGGCTGCGAGCCCTGCTAACATACTCGCACAATCAGAGTCAAAGTATTGCGTCTACTGGCATGATATTGAACAGAGTGGTTCCTATTTATACTGACAGCAAACAATTAATCATTGCCCTAGAAAACAATCTTTGAGGTTCTCTTCACACACGCCTACGCTTCAGAGACAAGCTGCTAGGAAACCTGTAGCATTAATTACTGGCACTGAGTCAGGCTGCTGTCCAGGGAACCACGTGCCCCAGCTGAAGTAAGTTTGTGGGGTTCAAAGAACATCAAATGGAGCTTTCCCAGTCTGGTTAACTGACACACATTCCTGAATTTATGGTTTTCTACACTTAAAGTACTTTCCCATAAAGTTATACCCGAAAACTCCACCAGGAAGTTCTCTTTCCAATACAGTTTAAAATGGTGACAAATTTGAAAGAACTATACCAGCAGAAAACTTATATTTAATAACTGTACCACAGGAGGGTTTCTGCTAAGATAGGGACCTTGGTAAAGCTTATGTTTTTGGTTTTGTGGTTTTTTTACTTTTAATATCCCTTATGAATTTAGCTGTATCTGCAGAAATTCATATATTAGAATTATTTATAAAGAACATTTTATAAATGGTTCTTGTCCTTATCTCAACTTGCTAACACAGATTGTACGTGCACATCACTTAATTACGAACAGGGTCTACAGTTGTAGAAATTCTCTTTCCATACATTCATGTATCAAAATGCAAACCAACTGGCAAGACAAAAATATAGATATGCTTATATGATATGCATTAAAGAGTCATTTGTAGCAGCTTCTTTGGCACTCAAATGTCAAGAATACAAGTTTTCATTTCCTCTTTAGCATTTGTTTGAAAGACTTGGGGGTGTGATACATTAAGATATTAAACCTTAGTAGCAATCTAAAAGGATAAGAGGAAAAAAAAACCAACAAATGACTTTTTACTTTTCAATAAACCCAAGCAACTTAATGTGTAATTTCACTTATAAAGATAAAATCCCTAATATAAAACAAACCCACAATACCACAAATACAGCAAAAGCCTTTTGAAAAAACTTTTCAAATCCCACTTAATTCAACAGTAAACTCCCAATTCAGATTAACATGAAATTGTTCAAAGGCCAAGGAGGTGAAACGAATGGGGCGCAGTCTCAGGGCTGGTAAATGCTGATAAAAATTAAGAGGTGGAATCATAAATGGATATCAGCATTACTATTCTTTACATTGCTATACAAAAAAATTTTGATCGAACTAGCAATTGTGTATAGCTGTGTGGATTTTTCACCTCCAGAGAAATCGAAGTAGTATGAATAAGTGAGAAGTAATCATGTGTCATCATCAGCTTGAATCACCGAGAATGGTCTCTTAAGATCAAATGTCAGAAGCAATACTTTATATAGTTAATAGTATAAAAAAAAAAAACCAACCCAAAAACTGGCTATTCATGATGCAGTTTTGAGAATTTCATGATTTCTTGTAAAACTTGTCACAGAGCAAAACTACTTCACTTTAATGGCCCAATAAACAGTCCTGAACAGTCTTCTAACATTATCTGATATTGAATCAGACCAAGCAGGACAAAAAAAAAAAGAAAAAAAAAAAAAAAACCACCCCACAAACAAAGCAAATGTGTAGATAGAGAATTTTTTAAGAACTGCAGCTACACAGATGTGTGGATATGGGGCGGGCTCACTGCCCAGCTGCTCCCTGCGGTGCTCTGCCTTCCCCCCAGCGCAGCCCCCCCGAGAGCAGCGCCTGTGTCCCCCTCCCCGTGTCCCCTCCCCGGCAGCCCTGCCCCTTCCAGCCGGGTGAGCCCGGGGCTTTTCCATCGCCTGGGCCTGGAGCAGAGGGGCCCGATGTGGCAGAACCTCATGGGCCATGGCAAG